AATCAGTGTTTTTATATCTTTTGGGTAGATACCTAGGAGTGGTATTGCTGGGTCATAGGGAAGCTCCATGTTTAGCAGTTTGAGGAACCTCCAGACAGTTTTCCATAATGGTTGTACTAGTTTGCATTCCCACTGATCACTGGTTTCTTTTACTTCAAAATACACACAGATGGAAAAGGAGTCATAGTTAACATCCATGGAGTGTTTACAAACGCCAAGCAGGGTTCAACATCCTTCGTGTATATTTTCCCACTATTCCTCACCATGTTCCTGTTCTTGTTTGTTTTGATTTTTTTTCCTCTCCAGTGTAATACAAGTTTCTTGTGAGCAGGAGCTGTGGTTCTCTCTGCTTTAGCTGTCACCCTGGCAGAGTCCAGCCCTTGATACTACTCAGTAAAAGTTGCCCAGAGAATGAATGAAGCTGCCCATTCTTCCCCTGACCGTGCCAAAGATGAGGTGGGGGCGTGACTGGCCCAAGCCCACTAGCCATAAAAGCTGGAGCTGGATTTAAACTCACACCATCCACCATCGCATGTATCCCAGGCCTGCCTGGCCCTGGCCTCTGCCTGACTCAGCTCTCTGGCCATCTTCGGGAAGGCAGGGACAGGCGTTCCAGCAAGAAGGAGAGCCAAAAGGGCGACTTCTCTCTTGCTTTCTCCTTCCAACTGCCTGCTTTACAGCCTGGCTCTGTTGCCAGGACCCAAGGCCAGGAGCATGGGTCACAGGGACCCATCATGGTCAGAATTCTCTCCACCGGCGACCTTCAGTTCTCAGCTTCATTCCAGTGCTACCCCTTCCTGACTATGTGAATATCAACAACTTGCTGTTCTTCCCTGAACCTGTCTTCTTACTTGGAGGTTGAGGGTAATAGTAAGAATCCAATTGTAACTATCTTACAGGGTGGAGGTGAGGATTTAATACACTAGTGGGTATCAAGCCCAGAACATAGTGAAGATCAATATTAGGTCCTTTCCCTGTTCCTAGGGAGCATCTTAGTATCATGTGTAGGGGCGGGTCATTCCCATTTTAAAGAACTACACCAAACTTTTAAATTATGTAGAACTTTTGAATTAGTCTTTAGCTATGAGAAGACAGAAGCCTGTGTAAGGAAGGGAGGTGAGAGTTAAGAAAACAATACAAAAATGTATATGCCAGTCTTGTCCACAAAAGACCCCCAACGAGGAGGAAGAAAGTGGACAGAGCAAAAGGAGTAAAGGAGTGGCTGTACCCACGTGGTAACATTCTTCCTCTAATACTGCAGGGCTCTTGAGAGCCTGGTCCTGGGCCTGGGCGGAGATCATCCTTGAAGCCCCACTTTCCCTCTGCGGAAGCCCCAGGACATGCCTGAGGCATCCATAGTTGGGAGACAGTCCAAAAACCGTCTCACAACGATTCCCCCCCAAGGGAAGCTTCTATGGGTATTTTACTTGTCCTTTTCAGTGAAAGGCTGAAATATACTTGAATACACGAGGTTTTCTTCATTAAATTTTGCAAATGGAAAAGAGAGGATAACATGGTGAAAACCCCTCGGCCATTAATCAGAATGAACAATGATTGTAATGACACCTTATTTTCCTTTGAAAAAGGAATTACAACTTAGAAATTAAAATAAGCGTGGTTGGTTCTCACATTCTGCTTTGCTTTTTCTCTCCCCTGCTCCAGAACCCCAGAAACAGCTGTCTTAAGAAAACCACTGGGCGCAGGGGACCGTGGTGGTGGGGGGCAAGGGGTGTGGCTAGGGGGCGTGGCGGTGGGCGTGGCAGAGGAAGTGGTGGGGCGTGGCAGAGGAAATGGTTGGGGGCGTGGCTGACAATGTGGCGGTGGGCGTGGCCAGGCAGCATAGCCCCTGGAGGGGTGCACACAGAAATCATCGACAGTTCAGAAAACTACCTCAATACAAAATACATATATCCTTCGAAGTGGGAAAGGAAATCATAGGTTTCTTCTCAGCCCATCCTCTAGATTTCAATATACACATCCCATTCACCTGCCATTCTATGATTTTAGTGTTTTTAAATGGTGTCACTTAAATGTTCTTTTCTTTAAACCTGCTTTTCCCCTACTCAACACTGTGTTTTAGAGACCCACCTACTTTATAGATTAGAACTTTTTTCCTGATATAAGCTGCAAGGCTTAGCACTGAATAAATGCAAAATAAATGTATTTAACCATCTTGCTAGTAACAGTCTCTAGACAGGTTCGCTTTTTTGCCATTAAAACAGGACCGGGACCAGCATCTATGGTGACCCTTTGTGCAGATGTGTGAGAATTTCTCTGGCATAAGCAGCTTGAGCAGCCACACTTGGGTCTGGGGATGGACTGGTCCCTGTAATTCCAGATGGAAAACTTCTGGTCAAACTGATGCCTGAGTAGAGAGGAAATAGAGAAAATGTCTAAGTGAGCTCTAGTAGCAGAATCAATATAATTACAGAGCCCAGCCTGCCCGGAGAAGGATAAGCACCTAGAAGTACAAAAAGTCACAATAATGGGATAATCAGAACAAAGTTGGTCTATGCTTCCTTTAAAGGCAGAGTATGTTCATGGGCTTCATTAACTACAGGGAGGATGATTTCTTGACACAAAGAGTAGGTTCCTCCAAAATGACTCTTGGGGCAGAATGAAAAGAACGAGAGCTTACTAAATGTCCCAATTTGTGGGAGGAGGGAGCCAGTTCTATACACTCCCCTCCCAAGACTGATTCACACCTTTCCAAACAGACAGGTATCTCCAATCTTCGCTGCTGTTTAGACTCTGAAAGATGCTTTTACAGAATATTAGTAATCCCAAAGTGGACTCATCTCCCAAAGTCAGAAAGTAACAATAGCATACAGCAACCTGCAGGTAAATAAAGATGAAATCAGCTCAGTCTGAATGCAAGCAGGGGGAGTGGGAATCACCGTTCTGGTAGATTTTAATTAGGCAGAAATACCACGGGAGCTTCTCCACTCTAAACAATCCACTATATGCATTTTTTACGATTAAAATCCTTAGTCCTTTCTG